ATGGTTAGAGGCCAGACAAACTCAGCCTCCTGGTCCTCCAGGTTGGGGGTTGGAATGGGGGTGGCTCCTCATTTCATAAAACGGGCTCTGTAGTCCAGTGCCAAAACCCGCTGCCTTGCGGTAAGGTTTTTGAACCAAAGGCTTTGGTTGAGAACCCTAATCGTTCTCCTGTCTAGGCCTGGGCAACCTGACAGTATTCTGCCCACGCAATACAATGAACCTTTCCTACAACAATTTCTTGATGCTCTGGCCGTCGCAGAGGATAATAAACGGCGCCCTATCTGCTGCATCGAGCAGGGTGGATAGGGGTTTGGATGCTACTGCTCAGGCCTTCCCGTCTTCTTATACCCCTTCTTGCGCTTCTGCATCCTTATTGTCCCGCTCCAACTTTACTTATATCCCCCCCATTTTCAATCCCCCAATTCTTGGCCCTCCCCCAGCTTACTTCAATAGTCGCTTGTCTTCTAATTTCAAATCACACACAATCGCAGGGCCTCGCTCCAATCCAGTCGATAAGTCCATGTTCAACCAAGCGGACAACGTCAGTTCATCCGTTTCCCTTTGGAGTCCTCGTGTCTCGCTAAGATTGGCATGCCTCAACGTGCGCACTTTGCTGCAGATTGGCCAACAGGCAGCACTTGCCCGCACACTAGAGACCCTATCGATCGATATTTGCTGTTTATCAGAAACCCGCCTGCAAGATTCGAGCTCCGTGCTTACCCTGAGATCCCCCACATGCGACACTGGCGGCACATTCTCATTGCGCCTATCTGGCGATGATGCAGCTTCAAATGCCGGTCAAGCCGGCGTCGGCATTGTTTTGAGTCCCCGGGCTGAAGCTGCCCTGCTTGATTGGATCCCAGTAAACAGTAGGATGTGCGCCGTTAGATTAGCTGGTTCGTTCCGTGCTTCGAAGTCGCGCGGGGACAAACGGTGCCTGTTTGTCATTGCGGCCTACGCCCCTACAAACTGTAGCACTGATTCGGTAAAAGATGATTTCTACCAGCAACTTCACGAGCTCCTTCGTTACAGAAGAAGCACGGATACTGTGGTGCTGGCTGGCGATCTAAACGCCCAAGTCGGAAAATTGTCCTCTGATGAGCTTCATCTGGGCGGCCAACATGGTGTAGGCTCCCGTAATGATAATGGTGAGCGATTGCTCCAGCTGTGTGAAGATGCTCGCCTGTTTCTCGCGAGCACTAATTTTCGACACAGCACCCGCAGAAGTGTGACTTGGCGGCCACCAGCCTCGGGCCAGTCATGGACGCAAATCGATCATATCGCGATCAGTTACCGCTGGAGAGGCTGTGTCCAAAACTGTCGCTCGATTTGGAGCACGAGCGTGGACTCTGACCACGCACTTGTATGTGCCGACCTCCTGGTGCGTTTCGGTGGACGTCCGCGACGTCGATGTGAACGGATTGACACTAGCCAGCTGGCGAAGTCAGATGTTCTGAATGTGTACCAAGATGCGCTGACATCTGGGCTGAGTAAGCGCCCACTAAACACCGTTGAAGATCACTGGTCGCACACTCGTCAAGCGTTGCTATTAGCAGGCATGTCTTCATGTGGCAAAACAAATCGCCAAACCGGACATTGGGTCTCTACACAGTCTCTGGAACTTATGGATGCTCGCCGACGTATTCCGGCTGGAAGCGAATACAATGAATCTCGCAAAAATCTCAGGGCGAAACTACGTGCTAGCCTAAAGAAGGACCGCGAAACCTGGTGGTCTCATCGTGCATCTGAGATGGAAACAGCCGCTGCCATTGGTAATCATCGTAAGTTATACCGTCTGATACGGGCAACAGGCAGCAGGAGACCTGGTGTTAGCGAGACCATACGCGACAAGAGTGGGCAGATGATCCACAGCCTGTCAAAACGCTTGGAGCGTTGGGCTGAACACTTTGCTATGCAATTTAACCAACCTGAGTTATCACTTTCTTCGGGCATTGAGCGCCCTTCTCCTTGGGCCGTCTCCTTGGATCCGCCCTCACGCGCTGAAGTCGAACGTGAGATCAGGCTGTTGAAATTGCATAAGGCCGCAGGAGCAGATACTATTCCTCCAGCCCTCTTCAAGTTCGGTGGACCTGCTCTAATAGGTGATCTACACGAGTTGCTAGTAAAACTTTGGGAGCAGGAGACAGTCCCGACAGACTGGAACCGCTCCGTCATTGTCCCAATTTTCAAGGGAGGCTCCCGTTTGGTATGTAGCAATCATAGAGGGATCAGTCTGATTTCGATTGCCTCTAAATTGCTTGCCTCTCTCATTCTCCACAGACTGACTGGCACTCGTGAAAGCCAAATTCGTGAAGAGCAAGCCGGATTTCGTCGAGGTCGGGGCTGCATCGACCACATCTTCACATTGCGTCAAGTGTTGGAGCACCGCCATGTTTATTGGCGACCCACCGTTGTCGTGTTTCTTGACATAAAAGGTGCCTTCGACTCAGTCGATCGATGTGCCCTTTGGGACTGTCTGTTGAGGAAAGGTGTGCCTGATAAATATGTAAACATTATCAAAGCGCTGTACGCACATAGTTCGGGCAGGGTGAGGGTTTATGGCCAACTCTCGCCACCCTTCAGTATCACCAGCGGTGTGAGACAAGGATGCCCGCTGTCACCTTTCCTCTTCAACTTCGCTATTGATGAAGTCATGGAAACAGCGTTCGCTGGACACGACCTAGAAGGTGTGGAGCTACTCCCTGGTGAGCGACTTCTTGACTTGGAGTATGCAGACGATATTGCCCTAATCTGTGACGGCTCCCAAACATGCCAAACAGCACTGAACCGATTAGCACTGGCTGTCAGTCGTTTTGGGCTATGCTTTGCTCCATCAAAATGCAAAGTACTTCTCCAAGATTGGCAGGGACCCAACCCTGCGCTAACGCTTGGTGGTGATCTGCTAGAAGTCGTTCAGGAATTCAAGTACCTGGGCAGCTATATTAGCACCCGTGGGATTGAAGATGAGGTTACGAACCGTATAGCAAAAGCTCGAGGTGCTTTTGCCAATCTCCGCCACCTGTGGCGCAGACGCGACATTACTCTCGCCCTCAAGGGCAGAGTTTACAACACAGCCGTCCGTTCAACTCTCCTATATGGCTGTGAAACCTGGCCCATCAGGTCGACAGACATGAAGAGACTCGTCACGTTCGATCATCGCTGCCTTCGCAGCTTAGCTCATGTCTGGTGGGAACACCGCGTGAGCAATGAGCGTGTTCGACGTCGCGTATTTGGTGCAGGAAGAGCGAGTGAACCACTCAGCACGATTATATCACGCACCAGGCTCCGATGGCTGGGCCACGTCTTGCGCATGCCAGCACACCGACTCCCACGACGTGCATTGTTTGCGCGTTGTGGGTGCGGTTGGAAGAGGAGGAGGGGAGGCCAAGTGATGACTTGGTCGCGAGAAATGAAAACCCTCACTTCGAAGTTGGCGTCGGTTGGTGCATCCCGACTGCCTGGCTGGGGTCCTAAGGACGGTGAACACGTTTGGCTGGACACACTTGCTGATATGGCTAGGAGCCGGCCCCAATGGCGTTTGTGTTGTGAGTTCCTTTGTCCATCCCCCTCCTGTTTAGCATCCCCCTCCAATCACGATCTCAATCGTTAGGCATAATATGACTTTCTTTTACGGCAGCCAGCTGTTAGCTCTCCGGAACGATGTCCATCCGTTACTGGGGACTCAGCGGGCGTGCCACTGTTTGTTTTTTCTTTTCTTTTCTTGCCTTTTGTATTGCGGCACAATAGCTGAGGTGTTTTCCACCTCCAGCTAACGCGTAATGATGATGATGATGATGATGAGAGACGCTATTCTGGATCGCACAGTTTGTCGAGCCGCAAGTAACGTTCAGCTGTGGTGCTTTCATTGGGTACTCGTTTATTTAAGGTTCGGTGAACGTCAGTTGCGAGGGGACTATCCGAACACGCCAATTCCAAAATTTGTCGGGCAAGCTGGTGATGGAGCAGACGCACGAGATTAGGCAAATATATCGCTATTGGGTGAGCGGGGACGCGACTTGATAACGCTACACTTGTAGACGCTAACCTCAATTTACATGCTCGCTAGAACGAGCAAGGGGTGAAGTGAATGGCGCTGTCGTTTGTAATCCTGACAGCTGGCCAAAAAACTATATGTGACAGAACAAAAGCAGTTCTGTATCGATCGGCCAGGTGAGAAGTGTTCAGGTGATGCGACCTGTGGTGTAAGCACAGATGTCAGCCGCAAAAGTGACTGCAACTACCGCACAGAACGTCAGATGGTGAGGACAGGGCTTATTGGAGAGCCCTAAGCGTGCCCAATCGATTGATCGGAAATGTGCACAAATTTGGGCCAGAGGTCCTCCGAAAGCGGCAGGGCAAATTAGGTGATGAGGAGACAGAATAATTCTTGTGCTTAAGGATAGAGCTGTTAAATCCGAGTCGAATGAGAGCAAATTAATTAACGTGCAGTGAGATTGCGAGGAATAAATCCAAGAAAGATGAGGACCAGAACTGTGACCGTAAACTGGTGAGCAGCTGGGCAGAAAATCACGGTTGCGTTAATAGCGCTCAAGAAAAAATACAAGCGCATCGGCTTGTGCAGAAAATGAACGTGGCGTAATTGAGTAGCACACCACAAGCAGAAGATAAAGAGTGTCAATGACAAATAGAGACCATGCGTTTCACACCCGCAGGAGTAAGTTGGGTAAATTTAGCCGATATCAGAATAACAACAAGAGGTACGAAGTCCACTGTTCACAAGCTTGGTAGACACACCAACGTATGCTCTTGCAATTTAGGTACGTGCCTGCAAGCCCAAATCCGAACCGTACGAAAATCTCTACTAGCAGTTGCCACGCCATAACGTTAGCAGTATAGAAAAGAGGTGCTGCCGATTCTCGAGAAAATGAGGTGCAAATACTTATCACAGAATGATATCACATAAAACCGCAGATGCATTTGAAATCACTATCCGAATAACGAGACGGAGAAAAAGAGACTATTAACTGAGGCAAACTGACCAGCTCGAGTGGCACTCCTCGCGCGTTCGTCCCGTGGAAGAGCTATGCGTTTACGTGGTCCAGCAGCGGCCAGCTTGTTCGACAGACAAACGACCAGATTCTGTACACGAGTCAACGGGGGAGACTTCTTACCGGAACTTCCTTCCAGAGCAGCCTGAGCTATCTCGTGCAATGCCTGTTCTACCAGCAGCGCATGTTCTAACAGTCGTAATCGGTTAACCAAGAATGCCTGAGCTTCAGCCATGTTAATCTGATGTTTCTGGGAATCCCCTATAGAAAGGCAAAAACAAAGAAGTGAAAAATGAATACACTGTTATAGACTGGAAGCCAGGAGGAGCGTGCACATTAAGCCAACTATGAGCGAAAAAGAAAACATGGTGATTGGTGGTATTATAACAAACTGTACATTCTAAAAATGCCAGCACAAATCAACGATCTACAATCAACCCTCGCAACCGAAACGTTGTGCTGCCCTGATGTATTAGCTTCTACTTGATTAGTTCCCAATTATCACCTTTTAGTAAAGATCGCTTTATAAAAATGGAGGATGCATGATATAACTACATCACGCATGTATAGCAGAGTTTCTCGCAGTTCCACAAATAGTAAATGTCCCGGAATCACTCCGGTTATTCGTTTATGGACCTAATTTTATATACCGTACCCGGATGTATGTATATACCACCGAACGTAGCAACTGGGGTTGGGACCAGTATCGCTTCAGCCTTCGACTTTATATCTGTGATGACACAAAGACAAAGGGTTATATGCGAGTTCAAGATAACAAAGATACACTAGTTTGTCCAACCAACCTCGTCTATGCATACCGCCTTCCTTTCTTCTGTCAGAGCTGGTGGTTGGACACAATGACTTACGATAATGAGGTTTGAGCAAACGACCGAGCCTGGGCAGCCCGGCAGGCGAACCGCGGATCAACGAACACAGCAGATTCGCACGAGCGAGGAAACCTCAAACGACCGGACGGTGACCAATCATGTGAAAGAAAACCAATGTTGCGGCGCGGCAAACATGCCAATACCACGTTACATGTATCGAAAAGCCGGAAGAAGGAATCGGTCAGCTAAACGATGGGTAAGCACTGATGACCCAAAATCGCTATTAACGACAAACCTTCCGCGTACCAGCCGAGGATCAGCGGACCGAGGAAATACGACTAGTCTAGTACCCGCCATAGAACAAAGGCAACAGAGACGTAGTCCAGCGAAAAAGCGGATGATGGGCAATCAAGAGCCAATGAAGCAGAAAGAAAGAATACGCAGCCAATGAGGTTAGCCAGTGAAATAAGGCGAAAGAAACTAGTGCATTTTTGCTGTAGATATGCGAGGCCTCTGGCAATAAACGATTTTGCTGACCACAACCGGGGCTTCATTTTTGATTGCAGTCGCGTCCTACAACAGTTACTAAGCCAACTGGGTTGACCAATACTTTAGACTTGATAGTTACATTGAGTATCGCCAACGCTTAGGTAGACATCAAAGACAGTTTCCCAGACAACGACTATAAAACGATACGTTAAGATGAGAAGATAGACCTCTCTTCCCCACTACGCAATGCACGGGAGAAAATTCGAACACTTCCTACAATTAATCCGAAATTCTGATTGGAATGTCTTCTTCCTCTCTATCAATGCTTTCACCGTCGGGAAGCACTTCTATCGTCAAGTTCATCAGCATATAAGCTTCTTAGCTGCACAAGACAAACAGATGAATCATGTTATAAAAGACGCAGCCGAGCGTTCAATCAGTCAGAAATCCAGAAAACTGATCGCGTGATACGAAAGGTAAGAGATATTTCAGTGATCCAACAAATGCACTGATTCATCGCTGAAGTCAAGCACTCCTAGTTGATGTGGAGAACACACGAAGAGCAAACAGTCCTACGAATGACACTTAAAGCAAAACCGATTGTTAAAATTCTGCGTCGCAGAACCAGCAACAGCTGATTATTGTCTTACCTTGGCGAAAAATCGTAAACAAGCACCTTGCTGCTGAATTCGTGGAGAGGATTGGGCCCCTGTTTGGCACCTCACCAAACAAAAGGCGTAGGAACTGAGCAATCAATCATCGGCTTCCAATGAGTGCGAATCCCTGATTTCGCTCCGCTGTCTTGCAGGTAGGCTATTGAGCCGAAGGTTCGGGATGGGATCCCATAAGACAATTCCCTAGCTCGGCTTGGAGAACCGGGTAGTATCGTGACCACTGTGAAAACCATGGATTTCGCAATTGCTACTATGTCGCATACTTTTGCCGCCACCTTCCATATTACTCATGTTTCTCCATCACACACCGACCTTTCTCTTGCAGATGATCCACAACCTTCCGAATCTACTTCCAATGCCCGTTTTGCTGATATCGAAGTTGTCCGGCCATCATTTATCCTTCGACCTCGATATATATTTCGCCTTGTAGCGTTCAATGTTCGGACTCTCCCACAGATTGGACAACAAGTTGGACTGGCACGCAAGCTAAAGTCCCTCGCCATCGATGTTCGTTGTCTTAGCGAGACTCTATTGCAAGATCCCAGCAGCGTAAATAAGTTGTCGTCCCCGATTGCTCTTGAAGCCACATATTACTTAGGTCTGTCCGGTGACATGGAGACAGCAGCCCGTTTAGCTAATGTTGGTATCGCACTGAGTTACAAAGCGGAGGCTGCATTACTCGACTGGTTCCCGCTCGACAGCCGGCTGTGTGCGGTACGACTTCAAGGCTCTCGTATAATCAACAGACATCGTGAAGAGAGGCGCAATCAGGTTATCATTTCTGCCTACGCTCCAGCCGACTGCAGCTGTGCATCGGTTAAGGATGACTTTTATCGTGGACTCCCCAACCTTTTGAGCAGGGCCGGCCGTTACGTGAAGACTATCGTATCTTTCTCTCAAGTACGAATTTCAGGCATACCAGATCCTTTGGCTCAATAACCTGACACACAAGGCAGTGGGGATCAGATCTAGATCGGGAATGTGATTGAAGAGACAGATGGGGATCAGCTTCAGGTGCGTCATATGCAGCCTTGGAGGTACTGGAACGATTTATAAATGTGTTGCGACCGTAGTAGAATACGTACCTGCGACCACGGCCAGACGAAGGAGGGCTTTGACGGGCTTGCAGCTATTTGACCATGGGCTGCCTAACTTGAGGCGGGCAGCAGCAAACGATTGAACACCCGGGTGTGCCATCCCACCGTCAGAGACAATGCGTGGTGCTCGTACTCTACGCCAATCGAGCTGTGAGCTTATAACCCGTAGACTTGTTGTCTCACATGGCTAGGTTTTACGGGAATGGGGCCATCGCCCAATTCCTAACCTCCGAAGAGGATGGACTAGGATACTGGCAGGACGCCCACTCCTGACAGGAGAACGACTACAGTCCTCAGCCAAAGCCTTCGATTAAATGTAGACTCGAAAAACAGCGGGTCTAGCACATGGTCAGTTCACTGACTCATGCGGATTGGTGTCCCGGATCTTAGCAGGGAGAAGGGCGTAACCCAACGCCAACCCAGCGGTCGCCACGAGGAGGCGTCCAGGACTTGAGCCAACGGCACAACATTAGCAGCAATGGGTAGACCATCTGTCAGAATCTAGCCACCACCAGCCTCAGCGCACCATAGGCTTCCCCGGCTATATATATATAGGCTGTGCAAAATATGGACACAACTTCTCACTTGATCAGAATAAGCATATTATTATCATTATTACTATAAAAAGCAAACAGTTGGCTCTTGGAAATCAGTCAGTTGTACACCTTCACTATTTACAGTAATAGCTAGTCGCTTGAGCGAAGCTGAGGAGCCGGCCGTAGCCATGCGGGCCAATCCCGGGCTGCGACAGCAAATGAGTCGGGCGAGTATGATACCGGATAGGCGTTTCAGAGAAAGGAAGTTAGAGGTATATGTCAAATCGGCCAATCAGCCGCACGCATCAACGAGCCAGAGAAAGGAATCGCGGTCGGCTCATTGGCAGATCGGTTTAACCGGTACACCCACACGCAGACGAGGTAGGAACAACGAAGCAGACATTCAAAGCGGAGCTGACCTACCCAGCCGCAGCTTAAGGCGAATGAACGAAGACGGAGCAGAAGCCGAAAGAGACAAGCCGCGCGTGGAACCAATGGACGTAAAGTAATACGGAAGTCGCAGCGGCCAAGGTCGGCAGACAACCATCCTCCGTTTGTACAAAGCATTAAATGATGCCCTGATTCTACAATAAGACTGATCGTTGCCCAGTTTTTTACACTCGGAGGGCGCTACTCGACATGGTGATAAAGGAGAAGAAGCCGAGACGCCGGACTCCAGTGACCGTTGCGGGACAACCTTCGATTCCATTGCCAACCGCTCTACAAATAACGGAAAGCTCACTACCGCATAACTGGAGTTTGTGGAAATCGAAGTGCGTGGACTTCATGACGCCGGCATAGTTGGGCACCCATCCCATGCCATACGAACTGGCTGTGTTGAGACATGCCATCGGCGACGAGGCGAGGCGCGTGTTCGAGACATTAGACCTCGGTGACGGGGACGAACATGATCCGGATCTGTGGGAGATAAACAAAGAATTAGGCAAGTATTGCGAAGGCCGATCAAACGAGAAATATCAGAGAGATCTGTTTTTTAGTCGCCATCATTTACCGGGTGTCTTTCGAGACGTATAGTACAGAGCTGAAGATAATGGCACGAACTTGCAATATCTGCGATTGTCTTAGGGGGCTCCTTCGTACGTGACCGTATCGTTATCGGCATACGAAATGGTGATATCACAAGGTGCCCTCTGAAGCAAAGAAGTCTATTCCTAGATCAACGTATCGATATCTGCTTAAGTGAGATGAGAACAGCACAACGTCATCATTTGCGTACGGAAGCAACAGCAGGGCATTGTGCGGCATCAAAGCCCAAAGAATCCCCATCCCAGCCAACTGATAGTCAAGAGTCTAGTTGCCAATTTTGTGGTCACATTAATCCAAAACGAAAGCACCTGCATGAAGGGTTCAAGAAAAAGCATCTTGCCCGGTGATGTCGATTGACCCACGTCAGGTCAATAGACAGTGAAAGCCAAAAAGACACGCAAGAACTCATAATAAATCACATGAAACATCATACAGGTCGGAAAGGCATATTTGCGACGTTGTTGATCCAGAGACGGTCAGTTCGTTTTCAACTTGATTCAGGAGCCATCTTCAACACATTACGCGAGAAACATTGTATCAATGTACAATGTAGGAAAACGCGGATTTGCCTCAAAATGTGGAACGGCTTAT